TAGTATCATGTGTGTTACAATGATAGTGTTTTCTATTTGTTTACATGACACTGTGTACATTCTTTATATTAGTATTTACCTCAACTTGTGGGAAAGCTACTTGTGATGCACTTTGATTCTACATGTGGCTTTCTTATTACAGCCTATGTAATAAAATATTGTTACCACAATGTTCTGGCAACCACAGCTTTTTTTTTTTTACCAGAAATTTCACAGATTTTTCTACAATGCACTTTTTTGATCAAATAAAAACACTTTATGATACTGTAGCAAAATTAATCAATTGAACTCTAATATGAAATCAAAGGTTTGACTTTTGATATTTCCAGTAGTTTATCTTTCAACTGCCAAGTTGTGGTTTTGCAAAACTATATTTTTTATATAGCCATATTTTATTTCTCAGAAAGGTGTGGGAAGAAGATCAATGATTGCCAGAGTACAAGGACATCAAAACATCAGGCTGTCATTGCCAACAGATCAGACTATGCTAAGCTGGTATCTTCAAACTAACAGGAAAAGTTGTGTCATGCTGTATAGGTGACAGACACAAACCCCAGGAGACAGGAGATCACAGGCACTGTACAGCGACCACATTGTGTGTACATTGTACATTCCTATGAGGTTAGAGTAGCATTTGAAACTGCAGGCCTACTACCAATGAATGTACTGAGATATTGAGATGTTTAAGGTGAAAATGACAACAAAGCTCTGCAGGAAACGTGTTTCTAAGTAACTAAACCCTGCATGGGAAAAAAGAAAAGAGATCAACTGAAATAAGAGTCGGTCGTGGGAACAGAGCAGTGACAAGCTCTCGTGTGTTTATAGTTACTATCAAGGTCACTGTCAAGGTCAAGGCCAATGTGCTGTTAGCATATATTAATAACATGAGCTCAATGTTATTTGGGCTTTCTTGCAACATGGTGAAGTATTTAAGCATGACTATTTTGCAGACTGTAAAACATGAGACATCCATTCAAGTCTGATTGAATCAAAATAGACCCTATTTACTTTGTTAGTGTACATCTTGTGCAATTAATCTGTTAATCCACAAAAAAAAGTTTATTTTCATAATCAAAATCTGAAAATTTGTTTACACTTCTGTGACATTTCTTTTCTGATGTCAGTTTGATGGCTTGAACAGAACATCCACTCCCCTCCAAACGTCTGTCTGTTTCACTTGGAAATCACAATAATGAAGCTGGTCACTACTTCTGATTCAAGAAAAAAGTTCATTACAATGCACAAAATAACTGTCCGTGCAAGACAAACATTGCAACAATGCTATAGAAGCCGATAGCAGTCGATAACTGAAACACACGATGACATTTGTTTCTTCATCGAATAATTTGGAGAAATTTGACTTTTTTGCTTTACAGTAGTTGATTAAATATGATAATGTCGATTACTTGTGGGTTTTTGTGATGTTTTTATCAGCTGTTTGAACTCTTATTCTGATGGCACCCGTTTACTGCAGAGGATCTATTGATGAGCAAGTGGTGTAATGCTACATTTTTCCAAATCTGCTCCGATGAAGAAACTTCTCTGAGACTCTGAAAGCTAGTGAATTTTCAGCAAATTTTTATTTTTAGGGTGAACTTTTCCTATTATCAAAGTAGCACCTCTTTCAGGTATCTAAATGAGATATACAGTACTCCAGTGCATGACAACAAATATTAGGAAGTGTCTGTCTGTGGGATGCCGTGACTGACCAATCAGAATCTCATAATCCAAAGAGCTGTATAATAAATTTGTATAGTCACTTTTAATATGACATTGATATATTAGAGTCCCTAACTGTCGCCTAAACCTAATATATGAAATGCAATAGGCAGATAATAATGAGATCATGTTGTACAATGAACATCTAACCTCTTTTATCCAGCAATGCATCTGAGACTCTAAAGTAGTTGGGGACGCTTGACTGATTGCACAGACACTATTGGAAGAGAGCTGAACTGGAAGATGACATCACTGAATCATCTAAATAACTCTTTGTTATTGTCCTCTTGCATTATTGACAAACTGTTTTCCTGTTTGGCACTGTAAAGCTACTTTGACACAAATCAATATTGTATAAAGCGCTATGCAAATAAAGGTGACTTGACTTGACCATGTGGAATGTTTTATTTCTATATAAATAGAATATATAAATATATATATATGCTGTGTGTGTGTGTGTGTGTATATAGTGTCTGACAACAGTCCTCTGGAACACTATTCACTACTTCTCTCATGAAACAGAAAGGAATTTTCGTTGGTATCCGAACCTGTAACAGCAAGTTTTCTGAAAGTACAAAACACCCACACATATGATGGCAGTGCTTTTGCAACAGCAATAAAATATTCAATACTCTAAAAATCTTGCACAATAGCAAGTTGTATATTGATTATATGCTCATATGGATGAGTAAAAAAACAAAGACACCTGCAAGTTGCTCAGAACCTTTGGTCTATTTACAACATTATGCAGCACATGCAAAACAGCTGACAGGTGAAAAATAATCCCTTTATATTTATCGTGCCTTGCATGTATTTACATTTTATCATCCGCAACATAAAACTTCTGAGGATTTATTAGTCAGCCAGAGTGAGATTTTTCCTCATTTACATTTCTTCTCGGGCAGAGTTATCTTATACGCCCTAGAACAACATGCTGCAGCAAAACATTCCTTGTCAACACCTTTTCCAAACATGACACTGCATTTAGGCTGATTTTACAGACATGCATGAGTATTTCATATGACATTCACATTGGGAAAATAATAACATTTAAAGTATAAACACAACAAAACTTTGCATCATGCAAAATAATCACAAATAAGTTAAGGAGAATCCAGTTTTTTGATAACTTCCTTGATGTAAATAGGTGTGGTTTAGGAAGTTTCCTTGTACACATTCCTTAAAACAACAAATAAGAGCTCAACAATCTCTCTTTTTTGTATACACTAGATTTAATAGTGCATGGGATACATGCTTTTAAAAGAAAGAAAGAAACCTAGTTTTCCACAATAAATATCACAACATCTATTTTCTCGATTTTCATATGACAGCATGTGACAGAAACTCCAGATATTACCATGATTATCAGCATTTAAAACAGCAGAAAGGAGAACTCAGCTGAAAGAAGAAAAATTCCATAGGACGCAGAGCACAAATTCTGAGTATGGGTCACCATACTTGGCCACACATCACTTCACTTCACTAAATCATCAAGCAAGCTGACTAGCTTCCTTGCAGAACATGTGGTGAGATTGTGGTGAGATTGTAAAAATTCTAAACATTATTATGTTTTAAGTAGTCCATATAACACAGCAATCTAGAATGCCTGATTCTTATTGGCTGAAGGGCTTCAGTTGCTTTGACACAATCTGTATTGATAAAAGCGCTATATAAAAGGTGACTTGACTTGACTTGACATGTACTGTCGCATGGCTTTACTTGTATTCCACTGAGTATAACAGCCATGTGCCGCCTGGCTCAGGTAACCACAGCAGGTGTTGCAGCAGTGAGCTGGAGGATCAGGTGAGGCCCTGTGTGTGTCATTACCATAGTCCTCATTAGACCCCACGGATGACCTGTAACCAGACACAAAGCCAATTTGAGCAAATAAGCACGCTCAAAAAATATTGTCAAGCTTAGCCAGAAAAACCAGGGACTAAACTGTTTTGTCAGCAAATTATTTTTCAAATCAACTTAAAATGTTTAAAGCATGCTAAATAATTCTTCATCTGATTTCCCAGATACAATTCCTGTATGTTTTGATAAGCAAATTCCTGGCTTCAAGAGTTAAAGTCCCCCCAAAATTAAAATTCAGTCATCATTGTTTCCGTCATATTTGACTCTTTCACAAAACAAGGTATTTTGAAAAATTTTAATAGGTACAGTGGTGATTTGACCTTATTGGCTTTCATTGTATAAAAAAAACAAACAGTTGAAACATTCTTCAAAATATCTTCTTTTGTGTTCTACAGTAGAAAATCATACAGGAACAAAATGCCAATGAGCAAACGATAACAGATCTTTAATTTTTGGGTGAACTGTCCCTTAAGGACATCCATTTGTTTTTGTTAGTTTTTTTCTAGCATTAGGTTGTCGAATGTGGGAATGCAAATAAAACAAACTGTTTAAGATCCACTGAAAACTATTTCTACCATTCCACACAGCATTGAGCACAAGAGTCATAAGCCATGATACATACAATGTGTCTCAAATAAATCTCTTACTATTAGGCAGGGGTGTCCAAAAACCTGCTCCTGGAGGGCCACCTTCCAGCAGTTTCGCTGTATTCCCAATTTAACATCACTGGACTTCTGCTGCCTTGCTAATGGTTCATGACATTTCCTTCTTTAACTGGCCTTTCCTTACCAAGGGTATGAGACACACACACATGCAAGGTATTTCCAGAATGTCAATGCATTATGAATTGCCATTACATTATGGAAATATTTGCTGTGACCTTTTATAGGCTGATGTCATTCACTAAGGAAGTGGACATTACCATGTAAGCCACTAACATCTGATTTCAATCACAGCAATTTCAGCCAGAAATCTTTTAAACATATTCATAAATTTAGTTTTTTTTTTTAAATTTAACAATATAAACTGCTGAAGTTTCTTCAAGCCTCATGTGATTTTCTAAAACTCCAGCCATTCAGCATTAAAAAGTGACTCACTGTACTGAAGTGTAAAGTCAGTAAAGTAAATCATGCAAACCGTGTGACAGTCATGATGTTAACAAACATTATGTTAAAACCATTACTTCCACATTAGAAATGAAGCCAAACTGGCTACATCCAGCACCTTCAGGCAAAAAGTACAGCAAAAGAGAAGATTAAGAAATCAACTGAGAAACTTCCTCTGTATAAGGATCAGAACATGATGACAAATACTGAGGTCATAGTTACAACATCACACTTCCTGCTACACATTGTGCAGCTAAGAAAATGGAATTCATATGTTGCGTAATATTTGTTTCTCAGAATAAAATAATTTAAAACAGATTATGGGTGACAAAATAAAAATATATTTTTTATATACTGTCAAACTTCCCAAAACATTTCCACAGCACAGTGCAACTTTTGCCAAAGGCCGCAATGACAGTGAATGAGTGTATATACAGGAATTGTCAACTCTTTAGCCATTTACACAAGTCTGCTACAACATACAGATGAAAAATCTAGAAAACCTTTGAAGCTACAAATAATGGGCTAAATAAAGCACATAAACCTTGGACTTATTACCTAGCCACACAGTTAACTGTGGTAAGGGATTAATCAACTAAGAATTTTTTAAAAATGGTTTAATTTGCAGTTTAGAAAACAGTATATTCACAGAAAAAGGTCAATGACCATAACTACTTCTCAAACTTCTCAGTGTATCCAAAAGGTCCATCTGCAGGAAATGAAAACATTTAGTAGCCTTGTGGTTAGCTATCATAGTCCTAAGCTAGGACTCAAAACAGAATCACCATTAGCTTTTAGATAAAAGCTTTAAAGCTTACTTATCAGCTAAAGCCAGCACCTGAAGTCATGAGTGGGATATATGTGCACTATATTTCTGAAACAAAAAGTGACTATGAAAATGTGAAGGTGTTGTACTAAAATGACTAATTACACAACTTTTTATAGCAGATGCAACAAGTATTTGTGAATTCTAATGTATGCCATCTTTTTCAAAATATCCAATATATATATATATATATATATAGCATACAGAACACTGCTGGAAGTGTATTGGCAATTTAACATATGATTCTTGTGTAAACTGCACACAAAAACTGACATTAAAAATGTTACTTGCACATGCAGATCAACAATTCAGATCTGAACAGCTGAAATTTTTCAATTTCACTTTTTAATAAAAAAAATAGCTTAATTTCTCAAAAGATCACTTTGAACCAGTTTTATACACACTTGACAAAAAAAACTGATTTCTCATACACTTAAACTTTTTCACATAGATTCTTTTTGTCTTTCAATATCTGTCACAAAGTCCATTTGGATTCACCGTATCAAATAAGCAAGTGCAGCTCCAAATGTAGCCACACTGCCAATGGCCATCAATGTGTTTCTCACAGCCGCTTCTGTATTTGGGACATGAAAAAATTCCACAAAGCCATCCTAAGGAGAAAAACATACATACACTAGTTAAGAACAGGTTACAAACAAAGCAAAACTTAAAATAAAAGCATATGCAGTCCTGTGATTGGGGAAAAAAAGAAAGAAAAAACACACCCATGCATTGTTTTTGAGCAGCCAGTCCCGCTGGGTTGTGAGAAGATAGGAAGAGATCTCTTTCCCCACCAGACTCACACACTTGCTAAGTCCTTTATCATTCTGATGCTTGCATACCACTGCCCCAAAAGCAAGCAGGCTGGCAATGCGACCCCAGTTTGTGATGCCATCGCTGAAGACTTCTGTTGCCACAGTCTTGACGAAACTCACATCTTCTCCTTTCTGCTCCAGATTCAGACGTGCAATCATACCTGAAAGAGGGAAATGTTAAAGGCTACTGCGGAATCATAAAGACCATAAATACGTGGCATGAAGTGGAGCAACCTGCCAGGCCAGGTGCGTGTTGTGGGTGAGGCTGCCATTAGACTCTTTAACAAAGTTTACCCTGCTCTTATCAACCCATTAACATTATGAAACAAAGCGAAATGGAAGCCGTAGAGCGCTACTCGCTATAAGTCAGCAAGAACTTGTGAAATTACCTTTGTAAGCCAGTTCGTGCTTCATCACAAGACTTTCCACAACCCGATTCATCGTTGCCAGAACCTGTTTATTCCCACTTTTAGAATGAGGGAATCCAGTAACGTTTTTTAAGAAAATGTCAATAATCTCTCGTGTGTCCATTTCCAGGGCGTCGTAGATGGACGTGTATTCATCTTGTACTTCCTCGCAATCCGGCTCAGGCGAGGATGGTACCGAGCCCTGGAGTCCGTTCCCTGTAAACTGGTTCTGGGGTTTCAGTTCTGGCATTACCAGTGGCTTGCGACCCAGCCCGCCCGAGCTGCTGTTGACATTAAGAGCTGTTATTCCAATGCATGGCCAAAAGCCTTTGTCGTTTAAAACTTTACTCCCAGGGAACATTTTTGCTAATTCACATGAACGCTTTTAATCCAATTTATCAACGACGTATATGGTAGGAAACGGCGTCCTTCAAAATTAAAACGGAACGCAAATCTATTACATTTTACTTTAGCAAGGCGAAGCGTTGGTGAGAAGTTTCGATGTTATATACAATCGAGCAGGGGCGGGCTGTCTCTGTTGACCAATCATTGACGAAAACACGTAGCCTACTGCACTTTCGAAACGTTAGGTAACTTACATCAGGTTCCGCACGTAAAATGCGCTCCACATTCGTGTAAAGCCCTCAAATCTGTGACGATGAGAATATTTACATTCTCTTCGTAAACCGGCACTGGGTTTGCATCAGCAGAGGCAATATTTCAAAGCATGTCATGTCAAAATGTTTCACAGCCTGGTAGGATTAACGTCCCTTCAGTTTAGAAACGACCAGAGATCAGTATTCTTATGTTTGGGTTTAAAGATTCCACCGTTTTCTTTCCTTGGTCCGCCCATCTTTTTCAAGAGTGGCGCGCCCCCTAGTGAGAACTAGTTGTAGAACAGAATTTGCAGCAAAGAATGTATAACATATGCAAATCATGAGCAGCCAAAGCTTCAGATCCATTACGGTTCAGTTTTTATTTTTTTCAAAGAGCCCCATTTAATTTGGCAAACAAGATAGAAATTGGCACATTAGCAATTAGTAAACACCGGTTGTGCACCGTTAGATATTTTACAAGACATAGGCTATATATACAGACTAGCTTCAAAACAGCTCCAATGAAAAATAATTTATATTTATGAGTGACATACTGAGCGTCCACGCACGTGCATCTTTGTTGTTTTTATTCATTATTAGTTACGTCGGTATTGTCGTTTCTTTTATTCTCTAGGCTATATAGAGCAAAACAGGGAATTGCCGTATACTCTTGAGAAATGCAATTCATACATTTAATATTTCAGTCATTCTTGAGACATGGGACAAAACAGGTCCAGCAAGGGTAACTGCTATTATGTTTAAAAATAAAAATGTTTTCAATTTTAAATGTCATGAGGGATTAATAATAGAATGTATTTAACACAGTTATCACCTTCAATTTAATTTTCTCATTATTTTACCAAATCTGTGTTTCTTAATGTCCTCTCACGACATCTAAAACAGTGTGTCCACAGAGAAGGGTTCAATCATTCATATGCAATAAAATGGTTACAAATGTTTTTTTAATGACGAAAAAGAGCTTGTTTTATCAAAAGCAACACTTAATAACATCTCCTATCAAAGCAAGGTTGTTTTTTTAATGACACATGCATGTTTCATAAGATTTTAAAGTTGCGTCCCCACTTTTTGTCAACACCGTCAGACATTCAATAAAATGTAATAAAATCAGGGAATATCAGGGGCAGCTGTCACTCTAAAGGACCCCTTGCCACAGTTCACATCTGCAGAGTATATCAGAGTCAGACAGGCTCTGCTGAGTTTTATAGGTTTAGAATATTTTAAATCCGAATGTTAATATTTCCTGTGTCACAGCCATATGTCAACACCATCTTCCAATTTCTGAGGAAATTATTTGAAATAT